CCAAAAAAGATTTTTATCCATATGTACTCAGGAAAGAGAATCTTGAAACTCAGTTTGTACACTTGATCAAGAATAATATAAGAAATAATTCCCAAGTTACAAATAGCAAAAATATTATTATTAAGAATTTTAGCTACAGAGGAAAAAAGATCGCAATAATTAATCCTGACACTTCTAGCCATTAAATAACCTTCTGTCAGAGTTTAGAAGAAATTTCTTGTTGGTGCAGAGACTGCTACAGTCAGATGAGCAGGAGGTTTTGGGCTAACGTGGGGGCCGGTAAAATGACAGCTTAGATTAGCTACCAGTGCTGCAACTGGGCCGCACTGTCTCTGTGTAGCACTTGGCTAATGCCAACGGCTGAAGCATGACAAAGGGATCAAACCGTAGAATTGAAGGGCTGGGGAATCAAGATGTGGTGAAGTTTATTAAAAATAGAGCTGCGGGAACTCCATTACACGAGGCCATTTTTTTCCAGTTTCAGGGTGAGAACACAGGGCCTACTAGAAGATATATAAATCAGTCAAAACTAGCTGGCCAACTGGCTCACTTTCTCACCCAGCAACATGTCTGAGGGCCTCTCCGGGGCCAGGCAGTTTGACAGGCCCCTGGATTGACAGTGGCTGCCCTCTCTGAGTTGTGCTGTCCTCACACCCTTCGGATTTTCCCAACCACTGAGAAGTAAGTGTCACCAATGGTAGAGGCTGAGTGCACAGAAACACCATTTAAAATGAAAAAAACAAGCTCACCCAAGAAACGGAAGAAGATCCTTAATCTACTGGACAAACATAATGATTTCCTCATGTTTGCCAAGGTACCAAGGTTTTCCTACTACATGCACATGGGGCAATAATGGCCTGGTAAGGGGTAACTGGAGCATTAGAAATACGCTACTCTCTGCTTTTTCTCAAGGATTCACAATGGAATAACAAAAGGTGGAGAGGGAACAGACAAATGAGATTCTTCTCTCATATCTAGAAAGATTATAGGAGACTTTTTTCTCATTTGTTTGGGTCAGGAGAATTTCCAGCTTTTCCTTTAAAAGGTTATTCCTCTGCAGCAGCTCTCATTGCCAGAATGTTTTTCTTAATTTTCACCTTAACCTTATGGCTTGTACACTTTAAATGTCAAAGAGAAAGGCTGTGGGGAAAGCTCTGTTTGAGAACAAAGTGTACCACACATGACCCACCTCTTCTATGAATCTTCATCCTAGATACAGCAGCATTCCTTAATCTTTGTACTTAAACACCAGCTTCCTATCTGTGCCATCTCTCCTCTCCCTCAAGATATGCAGAGCTTCAGACATCATTAAAGAAAGCTAAGGGCCTGGAATATGTAATCCTTTGCTATCTGGCACTCTGCATTTGGTAGGGTTTAAGTAGTGTTAAATTCGAGACAAATGTTTACATGATGAGAAAGAAGGATTCTGGGAAATGATTCTATTTAAAAACACATCAGAAACCAACTTTTATATCCCATAGTTTAGATGCCATGAACAGAGCATATCAAGTAGCAGAAAGAGGTGTATGCGAATTGAGGGATTCTTTAATCCCCTGAATTCTATGGGAAGGCCGTAGCCCAACTTTGAACAATATGCAAAAACATGAATGACCCTGACAGCAAGGCAGCTACTGAAAACATCATGTCCTACAGATATGATGTCAGAACTGGAAGCCAGCCACACATGGGAGCTGCATGTGAGGGTTCTCTGAAACGAGGTGGGTGGGTTCTTCCTAGAGCTACAGAAAGACTGGGATGAGAAGAATTTGATAAAAGATATTATCAGAAATGATGAGGCAGAATATAGCCATGACTACACTGCTCCTTTCCTCTGGGGTTTGAAGGTCCTAATTACTTCCTAAGTTGTACAACAAACTTAAACATAAAGGCACTTTTCAGAAACTCCTCAGGCCAGCAAGATGGAAATGGAAATGGGCACTTCAAACCAGAGGTTATCTTTTCAGGTCTCCAAATCTCCAATAATCAACAAATGGCTGATCAATTATGATTTGCCCCCAGCACTACTCATATTGTTTTTGAAAGACATGAGTGAAGGGTGGGATGTGGAATTGCTGGGGATGTCAGGGAGGCAGAGAATGTTGGAGACTATAATGGGAGTTAGGGTAGTGGTGAGGGGCTGTGGTGAGGAAGTGGTGTTACTCAGAGGGTGAGGGGCTGGGGAAAAAAAGAGCCTCATCTTTGGGAACTCAGGGCCCTATCTGCACGTGAGCAGGCATGCTGATGAGCAGGGAACTTCACACCTGAAACTCTTCCCAGGCCTCAACACTCTCTCTCATAATCTAAGAGTTTGCTTCTTACTTTCTTCACTAGAAAAGCTGGAAACCAAACTGTGCCCATAGTTGAAGGTGGCTTGTTGTATGAGGGAAGATGCAATATTCTCATAGAAGCAGGGCATTTCTATTCCTATAAGAAGGGCAATCATTCTCACTTCACAGATACAGAGAACCACCCAAAGCACACAATTAGATATTCAGAATATTTTAGAACCTGGGCTCCTGACAGAACAGGAGTGTTGTTTCAAATTCCATGCCCAGAATTCCAACAAGTTTGCAATAGAGTGGTATCTGTGTCTGTCTTTCATCCTCTCCCTCTCTCTCTTTCACACACACACACACACACACGCGCGCGCGCGCGTGCGCGCACACACACACGGATGCGCGCGCACACACACACGGATGCGCGCACACACACACACTCCACTTTACAACTGGCTGTCTTCATTCATTCGTTCATTCAATGCCAGGTACTGGGGACAGAAATATAAATAAGATACTTTCTCAAGGAGCTCACAGTCTAATTGGAGAGACAAACATATAAGCAGATAACTGCAATACTCAAGCATCATTTGTCTTAACAACACAGAATACTGTAAGAAATGCTAAGCAAGGAGACTGTATACAATAAATCTTATTAAACAGTTATCTCCAGTAGCCCCTAGTATCAAATGAAAGGCAGCAAGAAGAATGCAAGGCACTCATCCTCCGCGTGGCTTTTGGATCCTGAACATACTACAGATCCTGAGAAGTAGCACTATGCTCTCAGAACCAGTACTGTAATTAGAGTCAGCACCCCACAGGTCAACGCTGAATTGCTCTTTATCTTGTGTATGGGCAAATCTTACTACCCAGATAAACTGTTAAATGTCTTGAGGGCAAGTCCTGTGCCTTACATTTCTTTAATCTCTAGAGCACCTAGGACTACCCCAGGCAAAAAGTAGACACTAAACGCATGATGTCTTGGTGAAAGGCACGTGATGCTGGGTAACTTGTTCCTCTACAAGGTTTGTATATAGACTGGAGGATCTGGAGCGTTTTGTAAAGCACAACACCGCCCTACCTGATCACATTAACTGATCCACACTTTAAAGATGGGGAGTCCTTCACTGGAAGGCCAGAGAAGAAGATGACATGTGGGTAAATTGTTTGGTAGTTAATAGCAATTTTAAAAAAGATATAAATTTGAGACTTAAGTTTCCCGGCTGACACTTAGGACAGAAAGAGACCTCAGCTAGGAAGTTCTAGCTCTTAGACATGGACCTGGTATTACCACGATATAAATCAAATCCCATCTTCACTTGCTTAAAAGCCTTCAATGGCTTTCCATTGCAGTTAAAGCAGAACCTACCTCCTTCTCGTGGTTGACAAGGCTCTCATTCTGGCTCCGCACACCTTGCCAATCTTAACGGGCCTCCTCACTTACCAGGCCCAGACACAATGGCTTCCTTGATGTTTGCAAACACGCCAGGCTCTTAACTGCACTAGGCCCTTACACTTGCTCTTCCTTCTTCCTGGGCCCTCTTCCTGCTTCTGAATGACTGTCTCCATCATATCCTTCAGATCTCAGCTCAAATATTTCCTCCTCAAGAAGGCCTTTCTTGACCAACTTTTCCAAAGTGATTCCATCCCATTCCTATTATTTATTAATATACCAACCAGTTAATTTACTTCATAGCATTTACCATGTTTTGAAATAATTGTGTTTGTCTCCCTGTTTATTATATTATCAGTCTTCTAAGTACAAAACTCCTGAGAGCAGGAGTTGAACTTATCTTCCTGTATCAACAGGCACACACTAGGTACTCAAATATTTTGAATGAATGAGTGAATGAGAATTAGGAAAGTACAGTAGCAGTAGGTTAGCAGGCACTGAGTTAAGGTGAAAAACATCAGTTCTCCCACTATGAAGCTAGAAGTTGCTGTATGATATATAAATTTTTACTTCATTAGGGTGTGTCCAAGTAGCAGTTAACACATAAAGATAAAAGAAATGAGAGGGAGAGCCTAACTCTCTGCTGATGACTTAAAAAGAAATGTCAAAAAAAGCAAAATTTTGCTGGCTTCAGCTTCCACTCATTTTATAAGGCTATTGGTAGTAAAAGCAAATTTTCTTACTTCTAACAGATTCCAAGGTTGGCTTTATTTCTCCCAAGTGATGCAGTTCTGCACCAAGCCCAGCCCTGCGATACCCCCATCAATGACTCCATTCAGGCACACTCATCCCCACGCCAGCCTTAGGGTATATCTGAGGCTCTCACTCTAAATAAAACTGGGGTTGACTCAGAATACTAGATGGAAAAGGGCTGTCTCTTCCCAAGCACCCGAACACTAAAGCAAAACACATGTGAGAAGTGTTCTTCCTCACAGTACCCCAGCTCAAGATCTGTTCCTCCTATAAAGGGAAGTATAATAGGGCGTAGAAACCCTTTAAAACGTGCAGTTCAGAAGCTAAGGATGATTCAATGGTACCGTTAAACCTAACATTTTTTGTTTCACTGAACTTGATCAATTAGGGCTGTTCTCTTAACTATCACTGATTGAGAGCCCCTGAACTTAGAAAAGTATGACAAAGAAAGCAGTGAAAAATGAACCCCATAGGCCTTGTTTTCTGTTAGATGCTCCCCGTGGCATACTGGGTACACACACCGCATCCTAAAAGCAACTCTATAAAGTGCTGAGAGGGGGAGAGAGAGTGGTACTTACGCGGCATGATCCCTTGGCTCACCAGTTCCTCCCGCGTCCGGCGCTGCTGGAGCTTCAACTGCAGCACTGCATGGCAGCAAAGAGAGAGGGGAGATCAAGGCTCAGTTGGGCATTCCACCACAAAAGACACATTTTTAAATGCAAAGAAAGCCTCGAAACAGAAGGGTGTAGCGTGAAAGAAGGATCCCCTTTAATTGTGACTGTAATTGCAGAAGTGGCCTGATACAGCACGGTTTCCGTATTCTGCTGTGGGCGGCGAGAGGAAGTTGCAAAGGGTCTTGCTGGGTGATAACAATCCACAAAGTACCAAAGTCTTGCCTCTTGTTCAAAACCTTCTACAACACTGTGCCCTCCTCCAAGACGAAAAAAACACAAATTCTTAACTCAAAGAAAACATAATGAGGACCACCGCACAGCAGAAAAAGCTTTCTAGATGTTCTACACCTTCTTTCTGGTAGCAAATGTTTACCACCATAAGTATAGCGAGTGATAGATCAGGAAGTATTGGTTGTTTGTAAAATCTTTTCTTTTGTATCTAAAAATTATACCTATTTTCAGCAAGCAATGGATTTCCATGGACCAGAAAATATTTTGCCATTAAGATAACTCTTCTCTGCCTCTTCCTCTTCACTTAGAGCCTTTTTCTGTTGACATGAAACAACAAAGCTAGGTGATTCAAAGCATATCCGGGCTAAGGGAGGGTGATGGGTGTTTCTACTATTTCTACTCTGGCAACACGACTTGATATAACAAGTTAATAGGAATTTTTTTTTTTAAGTAAAAAGCCAATTATCTCTATCTCAAATGCCAGTGAAACCTAAAGGGTATTACCACTGCACACCATACAGAATGACAAAGGCATAGCCTCCATTCAGAGACTAAGTGAGAAAATGTCCAGAAAAGGAGGGTTAAGAGGATCTCATGGGTCAAGGGAAGTTCCCTTATATGATAAGTCTTCAATTATAAGGTCCCTGCAAGTCACATCTGAGGGGGACCTGTATCTGTTAGGAACCATATTACCCTAATGTCTGCCTTTTCCATCCACAAAGCAGTTTTTAAGAAGGTCTCCAAAAACTGCAGAACCGTAACTAGTCTCTCCTGACTATATCTCAAATTCAGCAGGTCCAAAACCTATCTTTCCCCCCCAAAACCTAATCTACTTCCCATCCTTTTTCTCTTTAATGGTATCACTACCCTCTTCCCCAGCACTAATACTAAAACTTTTGAGCCAACTTCAACTCTGCCACCTCCTTACGCTCCTATTTCATCAAGTTTACTACGTTTCCTCGTGTTGCAGTGACAGCACTGTGTCTCGCCCACTCTCAGTCACCCTGATCAAGACTGTCCAATCACTCTTCCTCCAGGTACCATGAACTTTCCCAACTCCTTATTCACTTCACCTGGAAATGCCCAACTCTTCACCTGACCTTCCCAACTCACTCCTCCCCAGCACTGAGAATTACTCCAGGCCTCCTGTGAGCTACCTTTTATCTGTAATAAAAAGTAGAGTGATATTTTGCCCTGTGTAATACTTACCCTCTGAATAAATCTTCTCTCTCCTACCAGTTTATAAACTCCTGGGGGGGACAGAGAATATATCTTACTAATCTATGAACCACCCCCCAAGAGGACTTAATACACAGTAAGCATTTAACAATTGTTTCTTAAACTGAACTGGATCTCTAAATGATGATACATACAGCCTGAGAAATCTAATCAGGAGGGTATTATTATTATTTGCAAATTAACATTGTTAAAAATAAAGACAGCCTTGCAGAATAAAATATAAAAGCAGCAACGGCCACACTAATAGCTAACATTTATAGAACATGTGCTCTGTGCCAGATACTGTCCTACATTCTTTCATGTTTTAACTCACTTAATCTTCATAACTTCCCTATGGAGAGAATAGGTATTATTATTTTATAGGTAAGGAAAATGAGGCCCAGAGAGATTAAGTAGGTTAACTAAGGTGATCTACTAATAAGAGGTACAACAGGTTTTGAACCCAAGCATTCTGATTCCAGAACCTGGGCTCCTTACTTCTCTGCTTCTCCAGGGTCTTTTGGAAGCCTGTGCTGCTAATAAGATAAACAGGCACGGAGTATGATCACCTGGGTTCATTCTGTGGTAAGGCAAAGGGGATGAGGGAAATGGATGGTTCAGGCCAGGGTCAAAGAAGTTTGGGTGATCAGTTTCAGTAAAATAAATTTAATCTAAGAACTTGATTTCAGAATAAATTACAGATCAACAGCAGTAGTAATAATAAAATAAAATTATAATAGGAGTCATTGAGTGTTGCTATGTGTCAGCCCTATGTTAAGTGACTGACATGCTTTTCACTTGTTTAATTAAAAAAAAAAAGCCCTCTTTTTTACATCAGGACTTGGGAGCTGCTCTGTGGTGCTTGGAACAATGGCTTTCTGTGTAATGGAACTGTTATGTGGAGAGAATAAGATGCAAAGGAAAGTTCCAAAACATATGGGAGAATGTTTGCTGGAAAATGACTTGGTTAAAACCTGACAATCCTACCAGCATCCTGCAGGTTGAAGGATGAAGCTATGAATGTCACCGATTGATGAACAGCTTCATTTTAAATGAGGTGTTGCTGTCTGCCTATTGAAAAAGGCCAGTTTGCTATGAAGTTCCTAAGGTGTAAACTTTTCTGGCTAGCGCCACGAGATTTACTTGTCTGTTTTATGAAAAACTGGTGATCAGGAAAAGCTCTTCATTTTATGGACACGGAAAGAAAACAAAACTCAAGACAGATTATTTTGTTTTAATTTGTAAATAGATTTCTGAACCAACATCGAATCTAGATTAATGCATCCATAAGATCCAAGCCATTTCTATTCAATCATGTCACTGCCCTAGAGTCATAACCTGTTACTGATACTTTCTAGCTCTGAAACTGTTTTTAATGGAAAATTCTTTTTCAGTTATCCAGCCTTGTAATTAAATAATTTTGAAGGGGGGGGGAAGCCCTGTGCAAATAGTACAATTATTATCTCCATTTTACAGATGAGAAAACTAAGGATCAAACCTTTAAACTTTTGCCTTAGGTCAGATGGCTCAAAAGTGCTGGAACTAGGATTCGTACCAGGTCGCTGTGACACTACAGTGAAGGTACTTAATAGTGTGCCACATGTCTCCTTGGAAGAAAGAAAGAGGAGGGCCAGGCAGGATAAAGTAAGAGGGGAAAAAAAGGGCATATATTTGTCATCTTTTAGAGTGTTTCTAAGGCCCCGTGTAAGATGAGCTATTAGAAAAGGATTAAATATAACAAACTGATTTGATTTCAGAGAACAGGGAAACCTAATGCAATTCAGTAAGTCTGAACACTTAAAAAAAACAATAACTAATGAAAACTCTATTATCCAAGAATAATTTGAAGTATCAATCATCAGCCTTCCTAAAAACCCATATACAGATAGGGCCATAAGGGATCCATTATGCAAACTTACTGACTGAAAAACTTCTTGCTTCATGAAAGCAAAAATTTAACTCTATGATTCGAGCTTTTTATGGAGCTCTTTGTTTTTTTAAACAGCTCTAGGTCAAAGAGGAAGGTTCATCTAATAAACCTTTTCCATCTCTAAAACTAAATGAAATTAAAGTTCAGTTATCTGAAAATTCCATCTTGTGCCTCTCAGCAGTTAACTCCAAACCCTATGCTTATCTGAAATCTGACCAAGTTTCCCATTTACATAATAGAATTAACCCTTTATCAGTATACTCTGGGTATTGCTATAATTTGATTGTAGGTATGTATTATTTTATACATTGCATAACCCCTGCTAACCCTAACAATGTTTATAAGGAGGAAAATAAAAGCCCTAAGCAGTAAATTCAGAATTATGGTGTAATGTATCTGTCTGGCTCTGTATATATACAACAATCCTTCTTCTAAGACTTTCAGCTACAAAGAAATGCATATTTATATGAATTTCCCCTTTCCTTAGTCTATCTTAATTCCTCTTAATTCTAAGCACTCTAAATAAAATGGCTTTATGTTTCCAGGCCTTGAGGATTATTCATTTTAGAACAAATCATTTAATAAGTGACTTTCAGTAAATACCATATTATGTATTATGTATATTATGTATTACGCATAATGTTACTGTACATCACCATTTAGATTTCCTCTCCATTCCCCAAGTCAATAAAAACTAAACGAAAATACCTATTTGTGCACAAGCATGCATCTTTATACCTTCACTGTTATTGAATTCCACAAATTTAATATATCATCTGTTTCTAAATGGGTCTGTGCAAGCAGCCTATATATAGATGAACAGATGTCTTTAAAGCTGATGCATGGTGAATCAACTGAGTTGCCTGCCAGAAAAGGACTGGAATAAAAAGAAACAAACCGTAAAGTAGGGGAACCTAGGTTCTCCATTCCCCATGAAAATAATCAAGTTTTCCATTTGTTTCAAACACAGGTGATCAACTGCTATTTGAATAACTGGCTACTTGGGAAATCAAAGCAAGGGAAGGAACTTCACATATTTCTGCCCTGTACGACCATGGAGGTATACTGATGGTATTCAAGGGATAATGCCCAAGAAATGAACACATCAAACAATTGGGTCAACTGAGTCTGGAAAGAAAAAGCAAAAATAAGTGCTGTGTTCTCAGGTCCAGCTCTATGGCTTCCACTGGTCAGTAGTTCTGGATTTTACTGAAAAGGGAGATGTGCAGCTCAGTAGGTTGCTCCTACCTTATTCATATTTACCCATTATTGATTTCACCATGGCTTCTAGAATAGGGAGGCAAAGTATAAGTTATGAGGGAAGTAGAAAAGAAGAGGAAAGGGTTAGTATGGGAATGACTGGGAAAGAACAAAAACACTCCCTCTGCATCGTCCTTTGCTCAGGATGAAGACCTCTTCAACAAAGATTCTGACTGCAGGAACATTCCATTAACTCAGCTCTATTCAAAACACTGATGAATCTTTTTCTCAGTTCTTTAAATTTGGATATGAAACCTAATCAAATGACAAACTAATCAAATGACAAAATTTGATCACAGCTCTTCAGACTATTTATGTTACAAAAAGGCTC